TATCGGTAAGTTTGGCAATGTACTCCGAACTCTTGAAGTAGTCCAAACAGTAAAAGTACTGGGAGTAATCCAAACAGTTGGAGTACTCAAACAGTTGGAGTAACCGGAGTATTCCGAATAGTATTGGTGTACTCGGAGTACTCCCAACAGTTGGAGGTACTTTGAACAGTTGGTGTACTTCGATCAGTAGGAGTACTTCGATCAGTTAGAGTACTCCGATCAGTAGGAGTACTCCGAACAGTTAGATTACTCCGATCTTAGCAGTACTCCAAACAGTAGGAGTACTCCGGTCAGTTGGTTCACTCCAAACAGTTGAAGTACTCCGAACAGTTTGCGTACTCCGAACAGTTGGGTTGGAGCACTCCGAACAGATGTTATTGAACTGCCGCGTAGTAGAATGTGTGATAGATTTTCCTACCAGCGTGCGAGAAACACACACGCATTTTTATTTCAGTCCGTTATCATTATCAAACTTACCGATATTAACCCAGTTAGTTTGGGTTAATTGGCAATTTTAATCAGACATTATCAAACTTACTGATAATAACCAGGTTAGTCTGGGTTAGTTTGCAATTTTAATCAGACAAGTTATTCACTTCACTCCAGCATTAATCATATTGCCCGGACAATGTGATGATATTTTCTAATTCGTAATTTTGTCACATTCCTTTGGGTTTTTTTTAAATTGCCTGGGCATTATCAGAGCTGAGGTACTGATTAGAAAAATATACTTGAAGTAAAATATTCAGTACATATGATACTTTAAGTATTTTACTTAAGTACTTTTATAAGAAGAGTACTTGAGAAAAAATAATCAATATAATTTGAAAAAAGTACTTGTACTGGTAGGTACTTAAATTTGGCAATTAATTTTAAGTAATACTTACTACTTAAAAATGTACTTAAAATTTGAATATACTTAAAATATGTACTCTAAGTACTTATAGTACTGATTCTTATACTGCTTTTTTTATTTTAAGTAAAATACTTAATACTCTAAGTATATTTAAAATATTTTATACTTAATACTTCAAGTACATTTGCTGAGTACTTAGCTCAGCTCTGGGCATTGTAAATAATGCCATATTATTTACATTGCCCATGCACTCACCGGGTAAGTTTTTCTTTTAAATAACCGCGCGAAATCGAAGGAGCCAAAGTGCATTTTCATCTGTACCCACGAATGTCCTTGGAATGTTAATATTGAATGTTGTCAACCACACTTAAAATCAGTAGGGAATTATTGAAATACGGCCGCAGTTGACTGTGCCGCTTTAGTGCCGACCCAAAATTGACTGTGGCAGGCGCTATTTTGGCTCACAAAAGGAATTATTGAACGACACATTGAAGTCGGCAGTGGTGAACTTTGGCAGTGGCATGTCATGTTTTATTTTCATATTCCTAACCTAAAATTGCAAAGTGTAAATACGTGTTTAGTGTTCTTCTAGTGGTTTTTCTTGTAGTTTTTTGTTGAGTTTGTTTTGTTATTTCATCTATATTCTATAATGGAGGATATTGGAGGCCGTATTATATGGGGATGGGGATGGGGATGATGATGATGGCGATGTGGGATACGTCATTCTAGACCACATTTCAAGGGACGAGAATGATGGGGCCCCGTGGTCATTGAAACGAAGTATTTGTGATTTTAAACTGCCTTTCTCTTCATAAGAGCCCATTCTAATGGAAAAATCCAACACATACAATCAACAGAACAGGCAAATCGGCAAAAAACCTATAAAAACACAACACCGAACACCGCTAAGAAGCCACTAACCTGTCACTGGAAATTGAAGAAATAGGTTTGGTCGGACTTCGTTTAAAATCAGTTCTGAATTGAACTGCGCTTGCTCTATTCATATCGAACATATGTAAACCAATGCGCAAGCGCAGTTCAATTCAGAACTGATTCTGAACAAACCAATAAATGTAAATTAATAAAAAAGTGAGGTCATAAGCCTTGACGGACGTCAACTCAAAAAAAAAAAGAAGAGACATAGGGACGTGACTGTGCCTGTTTATGGCCTGTTTTTATTTTCCACAAATAGTGGAAGGCACAAACTTTATTAGTGGCGGCACTAAAAATTAACAGTATTGCCACAACGCGCACGTCTCAAAAACGTCAAAATATTGCCTAGCGCTATTAGTGCCTGGCATTTTATACTCTTCAATAATTCCCTAGTATTAAACAAACTGCAGTTTTATATTTGTGTTAGGTAGATATAGTGTTAACTGTTTATTTATGTTTTCTAAATAAAAAGATTTACTGTAACTGTATTATTTATATTTAATAGTATTTTCGACTTTATTTACACGTTTTGACACCGTTTTTGGCAAATTGTAAAATGCCTAAAAATAATCAGTCACAACATGATATATATTTTTCTGTTCTTGTTTCGCCGGCATTTTATCAGTTTGCCTGAATTGGTGCCGGCATAACGAAAAATGCAAATTATGCTTGCGTTTTGCCGGCTTTTCGTAAAATGCCTAGGCAAATTATAAAAAGCCCAAATTTACATTATGCCTACGACATATACATCCCAGGCCCCCCTAACTCCCATATTTTGTGTCTTGTAGAATTCATGCTGATGATGGATCTATGATAGATCCGAAGAGTGGAGATAGACTGTGTGTTTTACTCCAGTTCTTTAACTATTCTCTTTACTGTAAGACATGGACTACTATTTCAAAATTAATGATAAGGTGTTCCGAGAGGTACAACGGCGGAATGGAGCTGAGCTGAAACGCAGTAGCAGCTGCATTGGCGTATCCAGGATTTTGGTTTGGGGGGGGGGGCTGTGTTAACAAAAATGGTTGACCAAAAAAAAAAAAAAGCTGCGCACATTAGTCCATTTTCATATGCCTAAAGCATTCATGCGCTTATTGCCACATTAGAAATGACGAAGCATTTTAGGATAATTTTACTAGGTAGCTAGAGTTCACCGATTATACCTATTCTCTCTTTTTTTAACCAGTAGAAAAGGACGAAAATAGGTTATAGGTTGTGACTAGTTTTTCACAATGAACTATAAACTACACGTACCTGGAATGGCACCGTCCGTTGTCGGATATGGGATTTGTCATCTCTCTCAATGCGTCCAAAGATAGCTATATATAGTGAGGGATACCTTTCTCTCTCTAGTTCATTGACATTATAATTGACCCATAAGGTAAATAGAGATAGGTATCCCACACATTCTTCATCTCAATTTGCCGCATTTTATAGATAGGCTGGGCGAGCCATTCAGATACATGTAGTTTATAGTTAATTGGGTTTTCATCAGCCATATTTTGGAATGGTTTACTAATGAGAAATTCCGCATCCTCGCATGTTTGGGAAAATGATGTCCCTTTCCTATCCCGCGTTTTCGCAGCAGTTTAAAAATTCGATTTTTTTTTTTGAAAAAAAAGTATACATATGTTATCAGAATGACTACCTAACAGATTAATTTAAAAATGTGAAAGTTGCCTATTTTTGTCAGCAATTCACCTGTAACATAGGTACCCAATAAAGGTTCCGCGTCAAGAATCGTATTACGCGCCTTTTTTTTTGCGGGGCGACAAAAATTTTCACATCCGGCCACATATTCGCTTTTTTTGGTAAGGAGGAGAAATTTTGTTCACGAAGCACCTTCTCTCCTTGGGTCCTCATTCTTGAGACCAGGGAGCTACGTTCCCAGGATAACAAGTGTTCCGTCTTTGTTACTTATAATATCAGTTGCATATCATTGAGAAAGACAGAGCAATCGTTCTCATGAGAACGCTGGTCCCTGGTTTCAAGAATAAGTAGGGGGTCCGATTCTTGTCTCAGGGAGTAGAGCTCCCCGAGAGAAGACATTTTACATCTTTATCCATACTCTATTACTTTCCGATTACGTTGACAAGGACAAAACATGCGCTCTATCGGAGAGCTCTACTGCTCTACTTCCTGAGACGAGATTTGGGCCCCTGAGGAAGAAAGTACTTCGGACAGTTCATTTAAGATGATTAAGATGAAGCACTGATTTCCTTGCTGCATTAGGCGCCCGCCATAGAAAAACCTTATTATAGAAAGAAATAAATTTTATTTCTATTTTTTTTATACAAAAACTTTCAATGTCAATAAAATACGCTGGAAAAAAAAATCTAGACTTGTCTTGGGGAGGGCTGCAGCCCGGCAGCCTCCCCCCCTGGATACGCCTATGAGCAGCTGCCCAACATTTGGCAACTATGTTGTCGGGGGTGACAAAACACGACGCCCACCCTTCCTTCCGGCTGAACAGAAACACAGGCAGAAACGAGAAGATATTCCTAATGACCCATTAAACAAGAGAGGGTAGGTTATAGCGCCACCAGCTAAAAACTACAAGTAGGTGTGGCAAACAGTCTTTTCCCTAAAATAAATGAAAGGGTGTTCGTTGGATACAGGAAACAACACGAAGAGCTCCAGTTCGCGAAAGTGAAACCCCAACACCACTGAAGAGCTCCGGATTGGAAAGGTACATGGTATCAGCAAGTATCAGATTCACCGGAAAAACTAAGCTGTCAACACTAAAATTTTACAGAGTAACATTGTCTGTTACTATATATTACTACTTATCTCTGGTTACTACACAACACTGTAAACGAAATAAAATTATTGTTTGTTGGATTTTGAGTGGTTTCATTTGCACATTAAGGGACTACACGATATCTTAATTTTTTTTGAATTCCACGACCCTAGGTTATCTTATCTTAAAGTTAAAATATTTCAATTAATTTGTAACAGACTATGCAAAAATTTACACTTTAAACCCTTTTTTTCTTATTGTAATTCAAATAAGAACATTTACCTATTCTCTTAATAATTGTGAACCTCAATGTTGTGAATTAATGCCCTTCAAGTGCTAGGTTAGTAAACAGTAGCTTTAGACATCGTTGTCTCGCACAGTTTGGTACGTTTTCACTCACCATTATATTTTTCCACCAAGGTAAACTAATATAAGTATAAACATATTGGAATCGAAGTTTTGATTTCTTACCTGCATAATTTTAAGAATTAACGTGGTATTCTGAAAATCGTACTCCAAAGAAAAATGTATTTGTCCGACGTTTTCCGATGGTTCGGAATTGTCAATGTACATGTCCACTAATGATATTGAGCGACTTTGAAGGAAGGCCATCTGAAAAACAAATTAAAAATAACTAAAATAAATTTGAGAAAATATCGAATAATTTGTTCAATATTAAAATGGTATATAAAATAGATATTTGGATAAATATAGTTTGTATTCAAAACAAACCTCCCAATTTGATTTCCCAAAGTGTTTTCTGTTTATATTGCCGAGTGACGTTTTAATATTCCGTTAACGTTGGTAAAAGTGTAGCGACACGCGAGGACAAAGCTTTGGTATTTTCCTCAAATACACGAGGATCAAAAAGGGCCTAAAAAGTATTTCTGGTTTTGCATTAGGAACGTACGTTATTTCTTGTCACATATTTTTGATAATTTTTTTAATAAATATTCTAAAATTTTTTCTATTAGAAATAAGAATCTTCGAGCTGATTTTTCTAAAATTTTTCAGAACATTTTCAAAGTAGTCCAGTCAATTTTCTCAAAGAAAATGCGAAATTCCTTCCATGCACAGTACACCGTCGTGGCATGAAATGGAAAACAATTATAAAAATTCAACAATTAATTATTCTTTTGTAGACATTCTTAAATCAACTCAGAAGCGCAAGAATTTAACTTGAAAGCTCCTACAATTTTCTCATAATTGCTTTCGAGAATTGCGGACATGAGGTCCTTTTTACAAAACTGAAAAAATGCTTCGTTGCTTTTCTTACCAAACTTTAGCGAATAGCAATAGCTATCCCAAGCATGTTTCCATTCCGATCCAACAGAAATTACTTCACGAAATAGCTGGGATGTTTTTTCAGTTTAAAAAGGAAATTATTTACATTTTCTCTAGGCTCAAATTTGTAACTAGTTATTTAAGGTAAAACGTTTTTGCTTTAATCAGGTAAAAGCATTGCAAAGGGAAATGCTTAGTTTAAAAATTTATGTAGCTGATGAAGGGAATAAATAACGTTTTCTTTTTTAGATAGCGGGTGAAGCAGCCAAAATTGTATAAGTTAAAATTATAAAATTACAAAATTGTGACTAACTGGTAAGTGAATTATTTAAAATAAAACCTGCATAGATAGGTATAAAATTTGTATAAGGACTATAAAGTCTTTTGTTATAGGTAAATTTTGTATGCTATCTATGTTTAATTTTTAGTTTTTCATTTCTGGTTTATTTAATAGTTAAGGTAAAGGTTATAATTACGGGTTTATTTTTTAAATTGTTAAAATATATGAATATATGGAACTTAAATCTTGAATATCTGTTCTTTTGTTCGTGGAATTTTTTTCTTTGTTAATTTCAACCATCTCAAGGAAAAGTCTTTTGTTTAAATTTGTTTGTTGGTGTAAAATTTTAGCTTCATTGAAATTTATATTGTGTCCTGTTATGTAAGAATGTTCACTAATAGCTGATGAGTCTTTTTCTAATCTGAACAAAAGACTTTTCCTTGAGATGGTTTAAATTAACAAAGAAAAAAATTCAAAAAGAACAGATATTCAAGACTTAAGTTCCATATATTCATATATTTTAACAATTTAAAAAATACCCGTAATTATAACCTTTACCTTAACTATTAAAAAAACCAGAAATGAAAAACTAAAAATTAAACATAGATAGCATACAAAATTTACCTATAACAAAAGACTTTGTTTTAACAACAAAAATGTTTCAAAAAAAATTTACAATTCTAACTTTATAGTCCTTATACAAATTTTATACCTATCTATGCAGTTTTTATTTTAAATAATTCACTTACAAGTAAGTCACAATTTTGTAATTTTATAATTTTAACTTATATAATTTCAGCCCTGAAGAAGATACAAAAAAGTATCGAAAGCTTGGTTAGTAATAAAGAATTATTTTAGAAAAATAAACTTGTTTGGCTGCTTTACTCGCTATCTAAAGAAGAAAACGTAAAAAATCCAGCCGTTATCCCCAATCCTATTAGACAGTTTTCGTTGTATTGCCAAATTCGAACGGTTAACCATAACGAATACGAAGACAAAGTCGCTATTTGACAGATCGTCAAAATAGTTTTCGTTCAATCCGCTTAACGTTAACGTTAAGTCGAATTCGACAAACATAACCTTTCTTTAATTGTTTGTATTTATATACGTTTTGTACTTTGTTTTAATTTCCTAGTACCCAAAATTCATTAATTTTCCCTGTGTGCTTTACAAAATTGGCTACTACAAAAGCATAATTATAGATGTATCGTTATATGGGTTGTTGGCCCATACTTCTTCTATTAAAATAATAAATGATAAAGAGAAGTTTGTGTCCTATCGGTATCCAATGAAGGGGGGTGATTCGTCGGTTAGGACAAAAAATAAAAGGCCTGTTAAGTATTTGCCAACGTTACGCCCAAAAGTTTAGGGCTTCATCAGGGCTTGTACTTAAAAAATTATGTGGACAGAATTATAAAAAATAGTGCGAGATTTTCGGGATGGATCACTCGATTGCACATGAAATAATAAATAATATTGTCCTCATCCGTGAAACGATTTCTCGATCTTTTGAGGGAATTTAGTATTGAATCTATTTCGAAAACCAAAAACATTTAAAAACAAAAACAAACCACAACAAAAACATAGGAAATACGCATGCTTTCCGTTTTCGCTATGGTTTTGTCTTCCGTCCGTAAACTCCCGGCACTTATCGGTAACGATAACGATAAATGATAGCTCAAATGTCAAATTTGTCAAATAGCGGCTATCGGAATCGTTTTTAAAAGACAACGAAAACTCTCTATTATTGGAATAAATAACGATATATTGGGAATAGGTACTCAAAGTTTTGAAATTGAAAGGTTGTCCGGAAACAAAATAATTTAAAAGTTATGAAAAATTACTCCAGATTTTATTATTATCAGTCATTTTTATTCTGAAATTTCATTTTCCGAGTTCGACCTAGTTTACATCTAATAACCGCCCCTGATAAATTCCTGAAAAATAAAACGAGTTGTCAACTTTTTTTTTGTTATCGAACAATAAGGGGGTAAAACTTTATTAAAAGTTGCTAATATATTTTCAACGCGACCATAAATCACTGGGATTTTGCGATTGAATAATTAATGCATGAAAATTATTGATGACATGACTATCAGACATTTTTCATTTAATTAAAATATGAAGTAGAGATTCCTTCAAATTTACGCGCCAACAACACAGCATACAGAATAAATGAAGAGGTAAAAATGTTCTACGAAAAGATTGGTATTGCTCCAAGGGACCATCAAACACAGTTTACGGTTTTGTGTGGGGATTTCAATGCCAAAATAGGAATGAAAGCAAGCGATACGGAGATCTAACTAGAAAAATTCGGGTCGGAAGAAGAAATAAGCGCGGGAAGACACTACTGGGAAACTTTATATTAAAAAACTTATAATACCAAGCTTTTTCCAGAAGAAACCTAACAGAAGTTGCTCGTGAGAGAGTCTGGATCAGGGAAGTAGCAACAGGGCGTGCAAGCGGTCCCGCGCACAAGGGCCGGGCCCCGAAGGTGCCCGGCGGGTCCTGCCGCTTTTTGGACACAACATACAAGAAAATTAAAAAAAATCATATCACGCCCGCCCAAGCAAACATTTTTCGCTTTGGGGATTTTTAACTAAAACAGAAAATTGTAACATCTCTCTCTACAGATTTCTTTTCAGTCAGCCCTCCGAGTCCCAGTCCTCCTGTCGATAATGTCAATTGTTATTCTCAATCGTGGAAGTCCATGAGTCATGAGCGAATCCCCTGAGGGATTTTGTCCCCAGACTAGGCATACTATCCTAAGTAAAACGCGTCCGGAAAGTGTACTTTCAGAATCGTTGCCGATAAACCTCATTTAAAGTAGGTAGGTATCGACTTGTTACAAAAATAGATATTGTCTGTTAAACCTAAGAAAAATTATCACCTACGAATTTGCCATGCGCCCTTTTGCTCATAATCCCCCACCCCCTCAACGAATTTATTTATTCATTTATTGATACTAGGTAAGTACTTACAAGATGGGGTGTAATATTTTTGACCCCGAAACCATGGTAGTTAATTAATAATTGGAAAATATACTTTTTTGGAATTGTGAGATAGACTTTTTTTTCTCCTTAATTCATTGTAATTTTTAATGGTAGATTAGTACTGAATATGTCTATATTACACCTATCCAGAAACTTCTTGCACATAGCCAGCATGTAATTATAGGAGAAGGATTATCTTTATGCATATAGAATAATCCATTATTGATAGAGCGTACTTAATTTTAGGAAAAAGTAATGGTATTAAAATTAAAAAAAACAAGCGACCTATACTCTCAGGGCCGATCCTAGCAGGTGTGCAGCGCGTGCTCCGCGCGCGGGCGGCCAAATCTAGGGGCGGCCGCAGACCGCCCATAGTTCTGTCATTTAAGATTCAAATGAAACTTTTCACGAATTTCTCAAAATAAAACTACTACTACTTACTTCTAATAAAGAAATGAGCTGAAGATTAAAAAACCCCTGGAAAATAGAAAGTTTAGTGCTCAGTCAGTTTGATGGTTCCTTAAACTCTTTATACATCCCTCATTGGAGGGCAAATTTTTGTATATTATCTCACTAAATACTTCTGCTTTGTTTTTTTTTTAAATGTTTATTTTTGTTCGTGATCTGCAAGAATAAATATTAACTGTCCAACAGCGCTAGGTGAATAGTTCGCTAATAATTTAACCAACTTTTGTGGTCCCAAGTTCAGGTGGGTATGTTGTGTAGGTAAGTTTTACGACTAGGGACTAGGGATTGGGGTATCTTTGGTTTTTCCACTGGGCCCTTTTTTCTAATATCGGACCTAAGCCCAAGCCCAAGCCCAGGCCCTACTTAGTTTTAAGATAATGTCTGTCATCATTGATCACCACACACGCATTCAAACAACTCATAGAAAACAAATATGTTCTATACAAGATTTTTTGGACTTGAAACAGAGGTTATTCTAAGGATTTTTTTCCACTGCACATAAAGGAAATAAATCACTGTATTATCATGATATGTATCACTAACACACATTCACATACATTTTTTTCTATTTTGGTCTCATAATAACT